GAATCTATAACCACTAATTAATTTTTAAAGAATTATTTGAATCATCTTGGAACTCCACAAAATCAGATAAAAAATTCTGAAATTATGGTTTTACACCTGCAATTGTGATCGCGCCAAACTTTTTTTTCTGTAGATCAAAAATTAATTTGCAGTTCGGAAATGTTCTGTGGGAGAGTGTGGGGTGTGATAATAAGGACAACAACAAGGAAAACTTTTCGAAATTTTGACAAGACAACCTTGAAATTATCTTCAGGGTCATTTAGCCCGCGCGGTCGTTTGTAAACATTCGCGAATATGATAAAACGGATATCTGTATTGTGATACTGTTTCTGTTTCTCTCTCGGTGAAAAAGAGAGAGGGACAGATCGTAAATCTGTAGGTAGGTGTCATATAATAGGCATGTGAGAAGGAAATAAGAAGGGGAGCGGAAAATATTTATTACTCTGAATTTCTCAATTTAGTTCCAAAGTGACAGGCGGTACCAGTGGAATCGTTATTCGATGACAAGTCATACTAGAAAATTGGGGTTGGGATTTTAGGAAATTTTTGACATATTCTGGAGAATATTGATCACAGAGCCATAAGTACAGGAAGCCTCCGCCACCGGCTCCAGCAGCCCAGCCAACGTCGATCATGGATTTTCTGAAAAAAAGGCTTACAGTTTTGATTTCGGGCGCTCGGTATGCGTTGCGCGTGCAATCACCGTGACGCAATGTTGCAGACCGAGTGAATCGGGCGGTCCGGAATTCTGAGTTTTTACCTCTGTAACGTCTCCAAGAGCTCTGTGACAATCGCCGGTTCAAATCTGGTCATAAACTTTTTCGTCTCATGATACTTCCTCAATAACTCCACTGACACATATCCTTTCTCAATCCGTTCACTAAAGTCATCCACAGTTTCCGCCATATCTCGTAACTTCCTTTTTGTGTCGATGCATGTAAAAAAATTTCGAATCACTTCCTGTAGAAGATTTTTGGCTAGACGAGTCTTTCCGGTATAAACAAGAAGAAGACGTTCTTCTAGAAGATTTTTGATAGCAGGATTCAGATGAATTGTCTGGTGACGAATCCCATTTCCTTCTTGATAGAAACACTTTTTGAGTCCCCCGTACATTGCTCCGCATTGATCTTGCCATCCGCCTCCGGTAGTCATGATTTGCTCGACTCGAAGTACCTGGAAATTCTGTAACGTGTTTGGTACCACCAGAACAACCTACCGTATGCACAATTTGATCTTCCAGCGAAAACTGCTCCTCTGAAACTTTCCCCAATGCACAAATCGCTTTCAAAATTGTGCACGCTAGAATCGAAGAAGTGCCCAAACCAGATCCATGTGGCAATTCTGACCTTGTTTCTATCCGAAGTCCAGTGCATTGCAAGATTTCAAAAAACTCAGCGAGAGAGTGGAAGCCCAGAGAAACGATGCATGCAGAGACAAGAGCTCCAGTTTCAGAAGGCTTATCGTGCATATGGAGAAGATCCTTGTCGGATTCGATTAGAATTGTAGAGCCATCCTGACAGAGTTCGATAACAGGAGAGGTGCTTTTGGTGATGTGGCAGCGTATGGGGTTTTTTCCATCCAACTGTACAGCCATATTAACTACTGCGGCATTTTCAGAGAAGCCAAAAAATATGGGCGGTGTATCCAGCCAGCCTCCAAAGAAATCGATTCGAACTGGAGCAGTAACCAAGGCAGAAAGCAGTTTTGGGTTATTGGATTTTTCCAGCTTTATTGTTCTCTGGAAATCATTTTCAGCTTCAAAAATATATGTAAAGACACATACCGAGCTACACAAATCATCCACCATTCGATGAATAACTTTCTGTCCAGCAGTCTCTAAATGCCTAGCCGCTCGAATCATCTTACTCGGATCTGATAGCCAATTCTTCAGAATCTCATCGAAAATCTCATTTAGACTCAGATTTTCGAAAACTGCATTTTTTGCTGGACCATTTCGCAAACCACCTTTTCCATTAGAAGCCAGAGAAAGCGCCAGGGAAGCCGTGAAAATTATTTGGAGTTGATTTTTTTCATCAAATTTTAGAATTTGTTCCCGAAGGAAACTAAAGATTCCAACGATAGAATCAACCCCCTGAAGGCTTAAGATACTTCTGAGACATCGTTCCACATCTGAATCCGTTCTTGATTCAAGGCTCTCATGCATCTCATCTATAAGGCTTGTATAGCTCTGAGGGCTCTCCGGGAATTCCTTGTACTTAAAATTGGTGATGTCGAGAACTTCTAGAACTTTTCTGAGCAAATTTTTAGAGATGTTTCCTGATTTCAACCCACCGACTCTTCCTTTATAACTTCTTAGTTTCTTATAAATCTGTTTTCTGGCTTTCGTTCGATCTTTGATATTTTCTGAAACTTTCCCACGGACACCCAACTGATTGGAAACGAATTCTGGCTCGCTGGTACACGTGGCAAGCATGAAGTCGAAGAAAATTGATAACTGAAATTTAGAAGGGGTTCTAGATTATCCAATACGATTCTTACTTTCAACGGTGTCACATTAGAATCAATCCCTAGATAGGTGGTTGCTGCAACTGGATATTCAGAATAAAGGCTCAAAAATGACGTAGCAATTTGTGGAGGTAGATAGATGAATCCCAAAATCACCGATTTTTCCAAAAACTGAGAAGTTCCTGAGACTTCTCCATCAAATTCCATCCCAACCAGCTTCCCATTCTTATCAGTTCTACACCATCCATGCTCACTAAACACTGATTTTTCTCCAGCAAAGCTAAATCCACTTATTGAATCTTCTGGAAGATCGAACATCACCTCAGGCACCAGATCCCAGCTCGCATCACTTCCAATTATCCATACACCTTTTTGTCGAGCTTTCTCTGCTATTTTTGCAGCATTTTTAATTGAATTCGATAGATATGTGTTAAAGATATACCCATTTCCACCGCTAGAAAAACCGTCGGAATTCAGAATTGCACGTGGATCGCTCTGAAATAAACTGAAACTCTGGAATTCTGAAAATGGCAAAAACAAACTCACCACAAGTACAATCAGCACATTTACATCTTGCAAAACGGCTTCAGTCAACACTGTAAACTTATTCCGATAGCACAGACGTTCGGCAGTTCTAATCAGTGCATTCAGAGCGCTTCCACCGGATCCCACATCTTCTGAAGCGTCGTTCACAACTAGAATTTCTTCTTGGCAATCAGGGAAATTTATATTTTGAAAGTGTTGAATGTCTAAACTTTGTGATATCGTTTTTCAATTATGGTTTATCCACCTGAATCTATAGAATGCGAATCAATTCCATAGCCTAACGAGAATGTTACAATGTCCCAACGCATAGAGAATAGCAGGAAAAGAGCCAGTTGTTTGGCTGGAGTAGTGTATTTATTCCACGTTTTGTGTCTTTTACGGGAGACGCAGAGAGAGACTCGATGCATACAACGATAACATGTTATACAACAACAAACTGGTTTTATTTGAACGAAACTGATAGGATTCGCAAACAAATTGTAAATTTTCAATCAAAATAGTCATCGAGATCGACTCCGGGCTCCAGGAATGTGTCTGCAATTCCTTCTAAATCCGTCTTGTTCAGAATGAGATTCTCCAGTGTTTCCTCCATCTCAGTTTCACCGATTAGAAGCGCTCCGACGATCACATTGTTCACAACCACGCATCGGACGAGCTTGTCTTCTTCGGTACCTCTGAAAATTTTTTTTTTCGATATTCTGATATTTTTTAAATTTTTTTGTACCTCAAAACAACTTTCCATGCGCCAGCTTGCTGCCGTTCTGGTTTGTAGTCGCCAAGAAAGACTACCTGAAGTTCATAATTTTTTCGAAGAATCAAATTTTATCGATTTTTGCTCTTCTGTTTGCGTTGACGTCACCGTAATTCTTCAGGCCTGCATACGTCATCTTCCTGACAGCCAAAATTATTTTTCGAACGCGCGCGCATTTTTGGAGGGTGATCGTCGCGAGACCCGAGCGTGTATTTTCGAATGCGTCGCGTGCGCGTTGCGGTTCACAAAGCATTCGAATCGTGCGCCTCCTCAGTTGCTTGGCAGTTCGATGCACTAACCAATTCTTCTTCTTGTGCTCATTTTCGAATGAGATTTTCGTTTACTTTATTTAACACCGTTCCCCTGTCATTCTCATTGATTTTTCGCGAGAAATATCGATGAAATAGGCACTTCTTCGAAAATCCTAAACCCCTTTTACCAAACTTCCTCATTTTTCAGAATGGAAGACGAACAACTTCTTGACTACGAGGAAGAGCAGGAGGAGATCCAGGACAAGCAAGAGGTCGGCGGAGGCGATTCCAAGAAAACCAAGGGAACGTATGCCTCGATCCACTCGTCCGGATTCCGCGATTTCCTTCTGAAGCCGGAAATTCTCCGCGCCATCGGAGACTGCGGTTTCGAGCATCCATCGGAGGTGCAACACGAGTGCATTCCTCAAGCCATTCTCGGCATGGACGTTGTTTGTCAAGCCAAGTCTGGAATGGGGAAGACTGCTGTTTTCGTCATCACCACTCTTCAGCAGCTCGAACCAGTCGATGGCGAGGTAACTATAGCAACAGGTGGAATAAGTATTAACCCTCATTTTTAGGTCTCCGTTGTGTGCATGTGCCACACTCGCGAACTGGCCTTCCAGATCTCCAAGGAGTACGAGCGCTTCAGCAAGTATCTCCCGGGAGTCAAGGTTGCCGTCTTCTTCGGAGGAATGGCCATCAAGAAAGATGAGGAGCGTCTCGCCAATGACTGCCCACACATTGTCGTCGGAACTCCAGGAAGGATGCTCGCTTTGGCTCGTTCTGGAAAGCTGAAGCTTGACAAGGTCAAGTACTTCATTCTCGACGAATGCGACAAGATGATCGGAGATGCCGGTAGGAAACTGAGTATGTGGGCCAAGTTTAAACAGTTTTTCATTTCAGATATGCGCCGTGACGTTCAAGAAATCGTCAAGATGACTCCACAACAGAAGCAAGTGATGATGTTCTCCGCCACCTTGCCAAAGGAGCTCCGTGCTGTTTGCAAGCGATTCATGCAAGACGTACGCTTTATCTCTGATCATGATCCCGAGTCTTCGGAACAACCATGCACCCCATTTTTTGAAAACGAAAAACTGTACCAAAACAAATTGCTAGTTATGTGTGTTCCGTGAAGCGGAAGAGATGGCCAGGACTTGGTTGGTCGTAAGAATTTCGAAGTCCGTAGCTTGATTTCTCGGATTTCAGATTTCATCTTGACCGGCCTCTCGCAACGCAGAAGCCATCGTCCTCTGGGGAGGCTGCTGGCACGCGTCAGCAAAGCTGAAAGCGATTAGGGTGCTGAGAACGAGACACATGTACTGCTACACAAAAACCGTTTCCTGACTCCCTATTGACTCTTCGGAGAGAGTTTGCATCTTAGTTTATTCTATTTCAGCCAATGGAGGTCTACGTCGACGACGAAGCCAAGCTCACACTCCACGGACTTCAACAACATTACGTCAAGCTGAAGGAAGCCGAAAAGAATCGCAAGCTGCTGAATCTTCTTGATATCCTGGAGTTCAACCAAGTCGTCATTTTCGTCAAGGCTGTGAAGCGCTGCGAAGCTCTTCACCAGCTTCTCACCGAGCAGAACTTCCCATCGATCGCCATTCACCGGCAAATGGCCCAGGAGGAGCGCCTCTCCAGATATCAAGCGTTCAAGGACTTCCAGAAGAGAATCCTTGTCGCCACCGATTTGTTCGGACGTGGAATGGATATTGAGCGTGTCAACATCGTCTTCAACTACGACATGCCAGAAGATTCGGACTCCTACCTTCACAGAGTCGCTCGTGCTGGACGTTTCGGAACCAAGGGATTGGCCATCACATTCGTTTCGGACGAGAACGACGCCAAGGTTCTCAACAGTGTCCAGGACCGCTTCGACATCAGCATCACGGAGCTTCCAGAAAAGGTTGATGGAGCCACTTACAGTGAGTTTAACAATTCTCAGCTCTAGAACTAAGCTAATGCTTGTAATTTTTCAGTCGAAGGAAGAACCAACTGATTCGTCATTCCCACCTCTTCTCAATCCAACGCATTCGACTCTACATTCGGCACCTCTTTGTTTTATCCCCCCATCTATCCGAGAATTTTCGTATACGCCCCTTCCTTCTTTTCCACTTCCCCCCTATTTATCGACCTCTGTATTTGTGGTCTCATTTACAATTTTCGTTTTCGTTAACCGCTTATTCCTACACATTTTCCCAACCTGTATTAAATATATTTTTCTCTCTTTGTGTGTTCGGAAATAAAATTTGTCACCTTCAGACCGAAAAACGTTGTGCAGTGTGAGAAGAGCTCAAAGTACATATTCTGCATTCGAGCCTCCTCAGCGCCTGCTGCCATCGCTCGACCACATACTTCTCCCAACTGACGCGCTTGTGTCCAGAGTTGCCGTTGTTTCCAAAGAGAGGATTCAGGAAGAGTTAGCATCGAGACATCTCCACAGCCATAGACATCGGGAATCGAAGTTTCACAAGCATCGTTGACAGCTATTCCACCATTATGAGCAGTTTCTAGCGATCGCTCCTCCCTCCAAACTTCCGAATTTGCCACGACTCCTCCCGCCCAAATGATCAGATCCGGTTTCAGCGAATTTTTAACCTTAAAATGCTTGAAGTTTATGAAAAATCGATTTTTTTATAGATCAAATACCCCAGTACTCCTATCAAGATATTCCACAACGAGCTCTTCAGATGTTTCAATGTTCCCAATGACAGAATTACGCAGAATTTTTACTGATCGTTTCCCAGAATTTCCAGAAGCTTCCACGCCAAAATCAATGCCAGAGCACCAATCCGGTCCTAGCGCTGGTCCTTGGAGTTTCTCAGAACTCTTCTCAGCATTCATAGATGACGTGGAATATTGAAGATGCTTCTGTACGCCGTCGTGCTTCTTTCCACCCGATCTGCCTGTTAACAAACGATCCTCGACAAATTTCTCAACGTCGTCTGGAAAAAACGAAGCACAAATCCACGCGTCTCTCACCAGCCACGTCACGAAGACGTTTTTGAGCTCATAGATTAGCTCAGTAGCGATGCCTCCGTTGCCAACGATCAGAAGATGCTTAGCATTGCCTAGTTGATTTTGTAGCTCTCTTGCGCTTTGTGTATCTCTCAAGAACAGAAATCTCGAATCGGAACCTAGCTCGTCTTGAAGTTTCGGTCTGGAACCTGTCGCAATGCAGAGTTTATCGTATTTCAGCGTTTCTCCGTTTTGCAGTGTGATTTGTTTCTTCTGGGCATCCCAATTTGTAACTGTGGCATGTAAAAATTTGAACCGTTTATCCGGAAAAATCTCAGAAGAATCTGCCTCTTTCACATCAAACTTCTCTCCGTACTGGCCGATCTAAAAGGCGTCAAACATTCTTCTAATCTTCTGGAACCGTTTCCACTCACTTTCCGGTAATTCTCAACTGACTTCACAGAGCTTGACCCTGAAACCAACACGACTTCCAGTTTGGGACATCTTTCCAAGCCGATAATCTCATTTGCGCATGAAACACCGGCGATTCCTCCGCCGACGATGACGTATTTCATTCTAGAGAATAGTTTTATGCCGTTTTATGTATTTTTTATGCCTAAAAGGGGGTTTCGTAACAATATTATGAACGAAACTTTATGAAAACTTTCGTCGACAAAAAATCTAGGAAAACCGAGAAGCATGCGGCGTCATGGCGGAAAGCCGTGCGGCACCTTGCAATTTTTGAATTAGATCCCGCCCATCGACGAAAATTGCCTTTCTTGTTGTTGTTTCGTTGATAAAAGTCAATTTTTCTTCTCGATTTTCGCGAAAGAATATTGCCTACTTTTTTCATCATGTTTTCTCTCTTGACATTTTATCTCTGAAGTATTCTCGCGACACTTCTCATGCCATCGCCTACTTATCATCGTTTCATCTCCACTTCCACCTTTTTCGCTGCTACTATCAATCAACTTTGTTACTTGCAGTAAATGACTTCTGTCGAGAGAATGGACACCTCAGAGGTTGAAGTCCCAAACGATCGTGAAATCGAAAAAATCACCGAGCAAGATTTACAGCAAGACGATGCGGTAAGAATCTCTTTTTTCTCTCTCCCTAATTTTCATTAATATTCTAGACTCCAAGAGAAGATCAACCGGAAACCAGCTCGTCGAGAGCCAAAGCGCCCGTCGAGGAAGAGGTAGCTGAGCAAGTAGAACTTGCTGACTTAGAAGCGGAGGCCACCGATTCGATCGTTGACAATGTACCGAAAACGCCACGGCGAGCTGGCCGCCCCAAGAAGTTGTCATCCGCCTCGGCTACAGCCGTTGCAGAAACCGCTGTCACACCAGGAAAACGTGGAAGAAAACGTAAGGGTAGCGAGTCAGCTAACACCACCGTTAACTCCACTTTGAATGAGCCAAAGACGCCAGGACGTAAACAAGGTTAGTATTAGTAGCTTCTAGATGCTTCCATTCACCAACATCAGTTAACTATGAAGCTATTTTGTTTCAGCAAAGCTCGCAGTAGCTCTGCTCACCTACCAGCAATTCGCGCCGTCTGTAATCGGAGATCGTGTATTGTCATGTGGAGAAGGAGAAGCGCTCGGACATCCAGGACGTACCACAACCAAAAAGCCACGTAAAGTCGACATCTTCGAAGAGGAAGGGCTGAAAATGCTTCAAGTCGTTGCCGGTGGAGTTCACTCAGCTGTCCTCACTTCCGAAGGACAAGTCTTCATGTGCGGTATCAACGAGAAGGGCACCGTTCCAGCGGAAGGAGTTGAAATGGAGGGAAGTACCGACGAATTCACAAAGGTCCCATTCTCAGACGAGATTCAAGAGGAGGGAAAAATCATCATGTTGGCTGCTGGCGCCTCTTTCACCGCCGGACTGACTGATCAAGGATCCGTGATCGCTTGGGGAAATCTTCGCAATTCCAACGGAAACGTCGATGTTCATCCACTTCTCCACAAGATGCAGGAGAAGCCTGTCGTCATTGTTCATCAGGCGAAACGCAAGATTGTGAAAATCGCCGCTGGAGAGAATCACCTCGTGATGCTCGACGAGAAGGGATGCATTCTCACTTTCGGAGATGGTGAGATGGGCCAACTCGGACGAAGTAGCCGTACTAAAACCATCCGATCTAGTAAGATATTCTGTTGACGAGTTTGCCAGCTTATTTCTCGTTTTCAGAGTTCATGTGCGACGAGTCAGGTGACCATCTTGTCGTTCCATTGAGATTCAAGAACAAAGGAAAGTTCTACGATGTTGTTGCGAAAAACGTCTTTGCCAGTGGATTCTGGACTATCGTTCATGGAGAAGATGGGAAGTACTACGCTTTCGGACTCAACAACTACGCACAGCTTGGAATCAAAGTCGACGAGGCCGATGTTGGACAAGACGGTCAGGATAACCGCGAGCTTCGTGTCTTCCTCCCTGCTGAAGCACCGGCGTTCGGAGCCGAGCAGACATTTGTCAACATCGAAGGAGTTCAACACGTCGTGCTTCTCGATAACGAAGGAAAGGTTTTCGCCATGGGCAAGAACACCGACAACGCGCTTGGACTCGGAAACTGGACCGGAAAGGACGATCAACAGCACTGGCTCTATGACTCTCTTCAACAAGTCGAGTTCGACTCGAAGATCGTCGGAGTGTCTGCCAAGTTGGCTACTTCTATTGCTTGGTCCGAAGATGGAACCGCATATGCATGGGGATTCGATACCACCGGACAGTTGGGTCTTGGATTGAAGGATGACGACGAAAAGGTATAAGTTTGTTATCTGTTGAAACCTTTATAATATTTTCGTTTCCAGATGGTTGGAAAGCCAGAAGAGATCAGCTCCGCTCATCTTGAAGACCATTCCATCATCGGCGCTTCGATTTCCGACCAACACACCCTGATTCTCGCCAAGAAGAACTAAATTGCTTTATTTATTCATACCCCATCATTTCCCCCCCCCCCCCCCCTCATTCAGGCCCCTTTTTCTGTAGCATTATCATCGTTTTGTTTTTTTCTTATTTAACTGCGATTCTATACCCTATCCGGTAATTTTCTCTATAGCAAATCCGATTTTTCTCCACTCTCTGTTTTTTTATCATTTCATTTTTTGCTCTTTCTTTTTGTCTTTTTGTCGAGTAGTACCAATCTTGTCATTAAGGGGATACCCCGATTCTGAGCTCTTGCCAGAGCATCTGTGAATTATCAGGGGTCGTTGTGAAGACGTCTGTCGTCACTTCGGCCACCCCCAAACTCTGGATTGAGTCCCAATACTCTATGTTTTCTCGAACCACCCCTTTCCCAACATGTCAAATCTGAAATTCCCCAACAATCTAGATTGTTTCTCAGTTTTGAAATTTGGATTATGTTATCGTGTGCGTGTGAACCTACTTTGTTTTATAATCCGTTTCTCCGCCTTTTTCTGGTGGGCGAATCTTCTCCTTGAAGGAAAATAAATCAATGGTTCAGAAGAAGGCGTTTCAATTTATCCCCAATTCTTTTCCAACCCCCTCACTATTTACCCACTTATCCTTGTTTCCTTCTCTCATTATACAAGTCGATCTGAATGCAAATATCCCCCAATTTCTGAATTTTTTCTCCCATTTTTTTTGCCAATTCGAAGGATTCGCAGTACAATGATGATGTGCAAGGAAGAAAAACGCGTCGTCGTTTTGAAAGCCCGTCTAATTGGGTACCGGAAAGCGACCGCCCTTCTCGGATCAAAGCTTCGGAAAGCAAACGGATGAGGTCTCTAGGAAAGAAGACTCCAAAGAGAGCTCGAGGTGTCCTGCACGCCTCATCAATTTGAAATTTTTAGGCATCAAATTTTTTTTGGTTTTTTGCTGCAAAAATCAATATCCTTTGTTTTCGACACCCCTCTTTCTGACGACGTTGTTGACAACGACACGACGTCTCAGATTCTCATTAAGTTGGGCTCGATTTTCAGGAAATTGAAATCTCGATTCTTCTCTTATACCAAACAATTCTCTTGTTTTTATCTAAATTTCTTCAACTTTTCTTCTTCTTTGTCATTCATTTTCCTTCATTTTGACACTCATTCCCTTTTACTTCAATGTCATCGAAATCACTACCCGACTACGAACGGAACACTTTAGACGACGTTGCCGCGGCGGAAAAACGGAAGACGTCAGAAGACGTGGAAACGCGTAAAATATCAGAAGACGTTGGAGGAGCGGATTCGAAGAAGACCGAGGAGACGCCGATTCGAACAGTCAGCTCGTCGCACGTCTCGTTTCAGCCGGTGCCGTCGGTTAGTTGGGGAATAAACTTTTTTTTGGAATTTCGAAAATTTGAATTTTGGCTGTACCTCTGTTTTTGTTCAATTTTCGGCCAGAAATTGGACAAATTCGGAATGTTTTTCTCTATTTTTTTTTGAGTTTCTGGACTTTTTTATTTGGAATTTCCGTAATTACTGTATTTCCTCTAGAAATAGCCCACCCAAACCTTCAACTTTGACCTTAAATTATCTCGATTCCTGTAAACGATATCAAAATTTTGTCAGCTGAAAAAATATTGGTGACATTATGATAAACATTTTGTCAGTTGGCAAATTTTTGATATCTTTAACTGGAAACGAGATATACCTATACAAAGTTTACAGTGTTGAACAAATTCTATTTCCTCTAATATGAGCCGAACCAAATCATCAACTTCGAGCTTAATTATCTCATTTTCTATGAGAGATATAAAATATTTGTTAACTGATAAAATATTAGTGATTTCATGATAAACAATTTATCAGTTGATAAATTTTTGATATGTTTCACAGGAATCGAGATAATTGAGCTCAAAGTGGACGGTGTTGGACGAATTCGGAATATTTTGATTTTTGAGGGTCAGAAATTTACAGACAAATATTTGGACGAGAAAAGTAAAGATTTTCTTGGTTTTGTTTCGGAACTTAGGAATTCCCACTTTTTTCCATTTTTTCAAATATCGGAGTTTTTTTGATATTCTGGAATTTCGTGGTTTCCTTTTTCATAGAGATCAAATTACCGTATTTCCTCTATTATAATAGGATCCCACCCGAACCGTCAACTTTGAGCTCAATTATTTCGATTCCTGTAAAAGATATCAAAATTTTGACAACTTATAAAATATGTATCATAGTATCACTAACATTTTATCAGTTTACAAATTTTTTATATCTCTTATAAGAATCGAGATAATTGAGCTCAAAGTTTACGCTAACTTAATTCTGGAAATTCTGGAATTCAAAACTCTGAAAATTAGTTGTTACATTCCAGAAATTTTTTCTTTCGATTCTGAAGTTTTAAGAATTTCAGTAAAAATATGATTCCCCGGTTTTCAAAAATCCAATTAAAACAATTGAACATCAAAAATTTCTGCTCGGTTTTTGAACTTTTGAAAATAGTCCTTTTTTGTGGTTATCAAATCAATATTCCCTTTTTATTAAAAAATTCACATTTTACACAATCAACCAGACCCTCTCAGTCAGTCAGCTGAAGTTCCATTTTCTCATATTATTATTATGTCACCCCATAACAATAAAAATGACATTCTCTGATTTTTCTGCTATGCACATTGTGTTTTTATCCTTCCACACACTAAACTTTGTGCTCTTTTTTCGTGCTTTTCGATTCTCGATTTCCAGAAAAAAAAACGGCGTTTCCTTTTTTCAACTTGTAACCCAATATCACTTGGTCCTCTTTATTTTTTGGAAAGTTTCGTAAATTTCAAGACCTCCTGAAATAAAAGTCACACGTTAAAAAAAACTTTTTTTTGAGATTTTGAAGACCCGAATATTCTAAAAATGTGAATTTTTGATCACTGAAATCTGTAGTTCCTTTCAAAAACATAAAAAAGAAACCCCGCCCAGATTCTTTTTCTCTGATTCTCTATATCTTTTTTTTCCAGATGGATTATCTCTCCATCCACGAGGATGACACATCAATGTCGTCGTCTGACCGGACCATCGAACGCGGATTTTCGAGATATGGACGGAAACGGTAAGGGGGAAAAATAACGAATTCTGGGATTCAAGGTTCCGGAATCTGAACTTCTACGATTTAGAAGTTCATGGATTCTTGGATTCTTGGATTCTCGGATTCTTGGATTCTTGGATTCTTGGATTCTTGGATTATTGGATTCTTGGATTCTTGGATTCTTGGATTCTTGGATTCTTGGATTCTTGGATTCTTGGATTCTTGGATTCTTGGATCCTTGGATTCTTGGATTCTTGGTTTCTTGGATACTTGAATTCTTGGATTCTTGGATTCTTGGATTCTTGGATTCTTGGATTCTTGAATTCTTATATTCTTGGATTTTCAAATTCTGACATTTTCAAATTCTGACATTTTAAAATTCTGACATTTTGAATTTCTCGGAATTTGCGGGTTCCGAATTCCGCGAATTTCAAAATGTTAGGATTCTGAATTATGCAGATTATGTAATTCTGTGTTTTTGAATTTCACTGATTTTGAGATTTGTGAACTCTAAACTTTGCGGATTCTAAAACCTATATCCGTAACCTATATCCTCGTGGTCTTGGATTCTTCACCTACAAATATTTTGAATTCTGCAATCAGAGGGTTTTAAGGTTACAGGTTCCGTCTGAATTTCAGGAATTTTGATTTCAAAACTCTACTCAAATCAGAAACTAATAAATATTTCAAAATTCGCCAACCATAATCGGAAAACCAAACTTTTGTATCCAGGATTCCAAAAGATGAAATTTAAAGCATTCAGTTGTGTGAGAGACATTCGAACAGACAGTTTCTATCCTGTAAAAGATATCAAAAAATGGTCAACTAATAAAATTTTTATCATAATATCAGCAATATTTTGTCAGTTGACCATTTTTTGATATCCTTCACAGAAATCGAGATAGATGCGCACAAAGTTGATAACTTGTAAGGCGTTCTATTAGAGTGGTTTTTATCATTCGCTGTCACAATTTTAAAACTAGAGATCACAAAAATGATTATTTTTCCAGTTCTTCCCAATACTTCCAGCTTCAGAACTTTTATAATCATCTAGGTAACCACCACACATTTACTTCCTTCCTCTTCTCCTTTTTCTTCCTCATCATATATGTTTCGTTGTGTTTTCTATTCCTTTTCCGTTCCTTCAATGATCCATTCTCCCAAAAATAAGAAAGCCCGATAATCTCCTCTCTTCTGTTTTTCCACAATTTTTGACACATGAGAAGAAAGGCAAGAAATAGGAAAAAATGGAAAGGGGTTTGACACCCGAGACATTGTCAAAAGTTGGAATTAAAGTTGAGACCAGGACCAGATGAGGACGACATCAGCGAAAAAAGCTTTTCCCCTTTTGTTTAATTAAACTGAAACACTTTTTTTGCGCTCCTGCAAAAGGTTTTAGTGGGTTTGGAGACATAAAAGTTGCCACTTTGCATCAAGTTAGACATTTTTCACGTATCACTGAATTGTGCTCTTTACTTAAGATGAAGAATTGTTGGGGGCTTTTTTTAAAAGTTAGGACATTCTAGCCTCAAAGATCTCTGAAAAAGGTTGACTCTGTTTTTTAAAAATGCTTGTGTTCCAACTTGTTTCCTGTTCTTAATTAACATTTTTGTTTTGCTCTTCTTTTGAAAGGTTATCTTTTTGTTTTCAGTTTTTTTTGGAGAGTTTTAGACAAAAAAATGCTTTGAAAATTTTCAATATCACCATGTCTGTTTTCTAAACTACCTTAAAACCTGTAGTAGACGCTCCCTGACATTAAACTTTGAGTCAATTTATCTCGGCTCCCTCCACAGATATCAAAAAGTTGTCAACTGATAATTTACTTATCATAATATCACAAACATTTTATCAGTTGGCACATTTTTGATATTGAGCTCAAACTTAACAGTGTTTATGCTCAACTTTGAAAATATTTTTTTTAAATCAGAAATCTGGAAAATCCAAAAAAATTTGCTGA